ACCTTTCATTGTGTTTTTAATGATACTAAATATTTCCTCTTTCAATTTTACACCGAAATAACCTGACTACGGTAAAGTCAGATGCCGTTGTCACAAATGGCGGACATAACCGTCGCTTCAACTGTTTAATCACTTGCTCCTCGTTTCATGAGATTTTACCGTCGCTAATTCTGCGCATGCATTAAGCTCTTGTGATAATGTATCAGATGAAATCCCATTTTCGATCAAATTGGGTCTAGAATCGCCACAATATAGCGTCTTCGATATCGTCAATGACAACGGAATCTGAATTTGAGTAATTTAGGAAGACAACAGCATAAGGTTATTACTGTGTCCGTTGGCCCGTATCTCATTTTGATCGGTTAAATTAAAAACTTTATTTCGATGGTAGAATTTTATTAACTGTACAATGGGTATTAAGACATTTTTATTGATTGTTGTTCCAAAGGAATTTAGTCTAGGTGCTCTATTAAATACATAGTTCATTAAAATCTAATTGAAGCGACGGTTATGTCCGCCATTTGTGACGACGGTATCTGACTTTACCGTAGTCAGGCTATTCCAGTGTAATAGGGTAGGTGGTCCTATCAAATTTTGGTCCTACTTTCTATTGATTTATATGGTGACCTAATTACAATTATTTTGCCTAATTATTCATACACAGTCAGGGCCAGTAATGGTCGTAAGGAAAGGGGACCATAATTTCTTTTAAACCGGGGTGAATTTGTTATTGGGAATTGATGTGTAGTGTTGAAAAATTCCATGTGGAAATACATTTAACTTTTGAATAATTCGGTTGATCAAAAGATAAAAGGTCCTTCGAATTTTTAAGGATCAACATATGGTTATAAAACCCCAGAATTTCTAAAAATGGCATTACAGTAAGACTCCAGCTCGGAGACGCCTAGTTAATAGCCCAGAAAGCTTTTTAGTAGAACAAACCCTAGAACCAGCAATAAATCTATATTTATAAGGGTCTTTATGTAACTTAGGTATCCAAAAGACTTTAGGCAAATGTTCTTGTTTCTCTGTTGGTTTGATCTTGTGTTTAATCAAGAAGTCTAAATGATTTTTGACAATTTCAACTCCATTAGCATCAACCTTAACATACGTCCTATCCATACTGTGTACATACAATTTGTCTCGTGGTACCTTAACGTTTTAAAAACATGAAATAAACTTTTCACACGAATTTGCAAATAGTAGAAGATAAAATATGGTATGTATTATTCTTAATGTTAACCTCTCTTTGTCTTCCTTTCGACGATGTACTGACAACATTGTCAAAATTCACGATTTTTGCTCTGTTTTAACTACTTTCCGTTCATTTACTGATGATTTATTGAGATTTTACCGTCATTTCGGTCTGGATAAATTTTCAACTTCATGGCATGAACTAAATGGTTCATATCTATCAAATTGGTCATTAATTTTTTAACTGTGGTAATTACGGAACAAACGATTTAGACATTGACAGGATAGCATGGACCTTACGATAATGGTCACAATTAATTATACTAAATGTTTGAATGTAACGATATGGGAACCAAGGTAGTCATTATTTGTTGACGAGTATCGTTTATATTGAAACAGGTGCATCACGACTTGAAAACAATATGCCTTGCAATTATTTGCAAATAGTGGAATCAATTGGTGCAAGGCCCCCATAGGGACCTTGCGTTTTCATACTAAAGTTCGTTTTGGAGTTTTTTCTTATTGTTCTATGTATTTCAAGACATTTTAGAGACAGGGCCCTTTTTCTAAAGCCCTTTTTAGAAAAATAATCGAGATTACAGAGGATACCCATTATTACTGCTTTTTAACTCAATGTTAACAGAAAATTCAAATTTCAAACTCCTTATCTCACTATAATTCACCAATGGAGAATGGAAGTTGAGCAACCAAACTTGGCACAAAGTTGGACCCTAAGATAAGCTCTAATCTGAGAGGTTTGATCTTTTGTGAAATCATATATTTGCCTAGCAACCACATAGCAACCATCTAAAATAACATATTTTAAAATATATATCCACTTAATATATGCTAGGATGCTATAAGACCATTACAAAAAGTCTTCTTATCCTAAAATACAACAATTCAAACATATTTTCAAAAGTGACATCACCATGTTGCATAGCAACAACATGGCAACAGGTTACAATGCCTATTTTGACATTTGCACACTATATTCCTATTATATACTCACTTGTACGCTTTTGGATCCCTTCCAAATTATTTCTTAACATACAGAAATTGTATTTAAGCATAAATGATGCAGTTATGCCTGACTATTTTCCCTAGCAACTTCCTAGCAACGGCTTTAAATAATGGTTAAATTTGCCTAGCAATGACCTAGCAACAGTTTAAAATAGCAATGTTTCTCATAAAAATCTCACTATATATCCACTATTATTTACTTGAAGAAAATTAATATGTATGTATGGTATTGAGATTTGTCTCACTGTTTGTAGGCTGGTAAACCAGGATAATGAATCAGGATAAGTGTGCCCATAACTTCTATTGTTACGGTAGATGGGCGATCTGCTAGAGTCAAAAGGACACCTGTTAGATCATTACATAAGTTTCATTGCTTGAAAACTGTCACCTTGCTCTGATGGTCCAGATGAAGTCTAGATGTGGTATCAGTTCCAGTATATAAATGTCCTGCAACCTTTTCCGACACCATGAGACACATGCAAAAGCATATATGTATCTGCCTCATGACATTGTTAATTTTTCACATTTGAATAGTAATGTTCCACTGAACCCAGCATATGGGGTTTCTGTATCCCAGCAGGGCGTGTTCAAAATACTAGAAAGTATATAGATTTTAAATCAAGACACCATATTTTACTGATTAAATCATTAGGTCAAGGTTATACTTGTTAAAAGCTTAAAATCCTATCTAGGCTTTGCTGAAACATAAAAGTCATTAATTTCAAAGTTTCAAGTTTTACCACTTGAGATGCTGAAGGATGTAGGAATTGTGCAAAGAGCTCTATCTTTCAAGAAAGTCTTGCCAATTGATTGGTAGTTTGGTGTTAGGATAGGATTTCTCAGAAACTGACAACAAGATAGAGTTTCTTGCACTACTAGCAACTGTTACAAGACATATTATTGCAGACGATAGAATCTTTGTCTCAACCATTGAAGGAGAGTGCATCAGTAATCCTGCTAATTGTGCCATAATAGTCCCTGCTCCCAGGAAGAGGCAGATACAAATATGTTTTTGGATGTGTCTAAAGGTATCGGAAAAGGTTGCAGGACACTTATGATAAGATTGGTGGACAGTAATGTTGTGATAGCCTAATAGCCTGTGCCTCTGAGCTACAGATTGAGATCTACATAGCATTTTCAAAAGGCAAAACTAACCCTACATTCCAATTTATGAATTTGCTTGAGCACTATGCTGCCAATGTTCCACGCCCTTACTGGAACTGATACGCATAATTCATGAAGTATTGCGCCTGCATCACCCTGCACACATTGATTTATTATTATTTTATCTGGATTTTACCATCATAGCAAGGTGACAGTTTTCAAGCAATGGAACTTATGTAATGATCTTACAGGTGCCCTTTTGACAAGAAGCACATGTAAGGGGGCAATGGTATATAGTGGATCCAGTTCTTCCTTCACCAAGTCTATTGGGATGGTTTAGGAACGCATCAGGATTGTGTGTACCCAGATGGAAAATACTGTTGCAAGCATCTGAGCCATGTAAAGTCATTAATTAAATGTGGATGTTCCAAATGTGACTGCAAAGGGAACCGCAAATGCCATGGTGCATTCTACTGCATCGAACTATGCACCTGCAAAGGGAATTGAAGCAATTCACCAAAATAAAGTATTATCTTAGGGGTATCAATGCTGAAAATGTATCAAGTATCAATGTGATGAATATTTCGTGTTTACTTTATCTCAGAACTGAAACATGAATTGCAATTTGATATGCGTAAGACAAGATATGTCCCATCATGCTTTACACAAGAGACTAAAGATTTTTAAGTGAGTAACTATAAAGCTTTATAAATTACAAAAGACATATATATTGATTTTCTTCAAGTACATATAGTGGATAAATAGTGAAATTCTTATGAGAAACATTGCTATTTTAAGATGTTGCTAGGCAAATTTAACCTTAATTTCAAGCCGTTGCTAGGGAAAATGGTTAGACATAACTGCATCGATACATTTTCTTTATGTTAAGAAATAATGTGGAAGAGATCCAAAAGCAGTGAACATATAATAGATATATAGTCTGCAAATGTCAAAATGGGCAATGTAACCTGTTGCCATGTTGTTGCTATGTAACATGGTGGTGTCACTTCTGTAAATATGTTAAAATTGTTGTATTTTAGGATAAGAATACTTTTTTTGTAATGGTCTTATAGGATCCTAGCATATATAAAGTGGATTTATATTGTAAAATATGTTATTTTAGGCGGTTGCTATGTGGTTGCTAGGCAAATATATGATATCACAAAAAGCAAAGAAAAAAACAAAGCCCTAAGATTAGAGTTTATCCTAGGATCTAACTTTGTGCCAAGTTTGGTTGCTCAATTCCCATTCTCCATTGATGAATTCTAGTGAGACAGGGAGTTTGGAATTTGAATTTTCTATTAAAATTGTGTTCAAAAGCAGAAATAACAGGTATCCTGTGTAATCTCAATTATTTTTCTAAAAAGGGCTTTAGAAAAAGGGCCCTGTCGCTTAAATATCTTTAAATACATAAAACTATAAGAAAAAACTCAAAAACAAACTTTAGTATGAAAACGCAAGATCATTCACCAATTGATTCCGCTAAAAAGGAATACATGAATAATGTGTCGTTAGGTGATCATAATGAAATATACAATTGTGCTTGCGATTGAAATAACCGCATTTTATACAAAGCAAACATTTGAACCATGCATGTACTAGTCAACAAGAATAGTTTTTCTATTGATTCTGCTTTCGATATGATATTGTTGTGGTCTAATGATAATAACAAAATAACAAATTGTTTTAGATCACTCATGCATTTTTATTTATCCACCTTGTTATGCTATCATAATTTATTAAACTCATATTTTTATCTGGATGCATCTGCCACAAGGTGCATTTTATTTTTCCGAGATGTAAGTATATTTTATTAACTTATAGGCTACGATTTCCATGTGTCAACTTTGTTTTGTTTAAAATAGTTTATATTTTAAAAATAGTTTATATTTTCAAAAAAAGTTTAAAAAATATAAAAAAAATATTTAGAATAGTTTATTTTTTCGGTTTTATTCACAGTTGAGAGACATGCATTTTTCATACTCCGTATGCGTCCTGATGTTGCTCGTACAGGACTTTGTTTGTATGGATGACACGGATGAGACAGATGATGTTGTTGTAATCAAGTATTTGAACAAGCCTATCGATACATTAGTTGAAAAAATGACCGTTGATGAGCTGACTATACGTCTTGGTTTGGCAGAATCAGATATAAGAGAATATCTTAAGAAAGAAAATATAGCAAACAAAGATAAAGTACATTTGAAGAAAAGTAGTGGAGTTATTCGCAAGTTATTGTCTACAATGAAAGGCTTACCGAATCTTTTAAAAAATACCAAAAAGAAATTAACAGATTTGAAAGACAACCTTAACTCGAAAATAGCAACAACAACTGTCGTTACAACCGAATTCGAAACCGAAACCAAACGATTAATAAAACTCATATCTGATGTAATCACAGAAGAACGAAAAACTTTTCGTACAGACATTGACAATTTTAAAGGACTCCTGGCTGCATTTAAAACCTTTAAGTTTATGCAGAATTCGCCTGCTATTGCAGAAGCCCTGAAAAAGATAAAGGCTCTTAGCAAAAAACATCAGATTGTTGTAAAAAGTCTTAACAAAGCTCGAATACCAGGTACGTTCATATGAAATTTGTATTTTAACCGCATCAACAAACCCACTCTTGCTTTGTAGATAGTATCTAGCATCATTAACCCTTTTATCAGTATATATTATCACAACATCCCAGTGACTAAAGATCATCTAATGCGATATGGTAAAAAGCATGACTTGTCCAGTTAAACTAAGCTAAATAAATTACCAAACCACTCATCACCATCGAAAATCATAGTAAATATCCGTAAAATCTTAATTCCATTGAAAATATTGTTAACAACATGCATGATCATAGAATACCACGGGCGTACCATAAAATAACCCTTTTAAAGGTACCAATCACTTTCCTAATAAAACGAATGGTGCGATCGTAAAATCTTGGCAATTTTTAACACCGTAATACGTTTTTGCTCTTATCACTATATCAAGATGTCCCGCATTGGCTGGCGTGGGGCCCTTGGAGCCGATGTCCTGGTATGATGGCACGGTGTGGTTGGAGAGAACGTCGTAAGATATGCATGGACGATAGGGAAAGCATACAACCGAGTGACAGATGTTTCGGCCAACAACCATCTGAAGAAGAACAATGCGCTGGTTGTTTAATAACATTCGATGGGGGAAGATCGACTGGCGGTCAACGCGTGTATAACATTTCAATGTATTCTTATATTGTCTCCATATCAAAAAGTGTTCAATATGGAAGCGAAGAAACTGGTCACTTCTGCGGCGGCATCATTCTTACAGACGTATGGATTATGACTGCAGCGCATTGTGTTTGTCAAGGAGGCCATTGCTGTTCGGAGGACTTCAAGTTTTTGTAAGAAGTTTATCTTTTATACTACTTATATTCTAATCTTCTTTTGATTATACGTTTTTGTAAAGTCGTTCATATTACGTCCACGAACCCAATTTCGACAACGATCCATTACCCTATTGATATCACTTTTTGTACACCTACTAGCAATTTTACATCGATGTATATCCGTGAATCAACATAACGATATGTTAAAAAGATATATAGAGGATATCCTATGATTTTTGAGTGATATGATTTTTATCCACGAATGGATATGATATCTGCACGAGCGAGCGTGGCGAGAGAGTGCAGATATCAATATCCATGAGTGGATTAAAATCATATCACGAGTAAATCATAGGATGTTGTTTTTATTCCATAATTAAAGTCATCATCAGAATCGTCGGAAATTAAGTGATTTAATTCGAATTTTCCAAATGATCCGACGATGTTGACACTTAGCCTCGTTTTGAGACTGAATTAGCAAAAATCCTTAATTCATAGAATACGGCGCAGTATGTCATGGCTAAAACACCGTATGCTATGGCGAAAATTTGTCAAAACTATCATATTTTACCACTGATTACAAAATTACAGTTTTTGTTTTGACATGTTATCTTATGAATATCATGGTAACTGTGGAATAAAGATCAATATTTGATTACTTAATCTTGAATTTGGAGGGACTCGAAATGTGATCTGAAAAATTTGAACGTGACTGCTGGCTTACTGAAACCCCATAGCACTACAAAAGGTCATAAAGACGACGGTCAAACTAGACAAGTATCCAGTGTCATAATTCACGAGGATTATGCAACTGATTCATACGGCAACCCATTAAGAAAAGACATCGCAATGATAAAACTCGATACACCACTGGACTTCACAAAACGAAATGTAAGACCATGTGACCTTCCAACTAGTAGATGTAGAGGTCCTGCAGAAGAGACTTGCATTAGACATAGCGAATGGGAGCGATGGGACTGTGAAATAGCAGGATGGGGCGTATTTAAAGGAAATTGTAAGTATTGTGACTTGTCCTGTGCACGTTTTTAAACGTGAACTTTGAAACACAAAGTTTGACCTATTTAAATTGGGTTCGTCCAAAATTGACATCTTGTTTTTTAAGAGAACAATAATAAAACAACATTTATTAAATAAGTAAAAATACATGTGACTATACTGTATATATGACTGTGAAATATAACAAAATACGACATTATGGTAGACTTCTGATCATGGTGTGAATACATTAAATATATTAATAGGAACAATGAACAGAAACATTGATTCCATCGAATATAGGCCTAGACCAAAGGAGCAATATATCTATTGTTAGAATAGCTAAGCCTTGCCCAAGTCGGTATTTTTTATCCTGATCTTGAATTATTAACGCCTTGTACAATCTAATGCATCATCGCTGATATTATGATAATTTATTCAGCGGTTTCGAGATTTCCATAATTCCTACGCTGTCAGGGGTATCGTGAAACCTTATTGATTGGCAAGATCGCATGGACACGACGTGTGGCTTCAGGCTGATTGACCAATCAAAACGTTTTCAGGTTTACCCGCATGAACAAAGCAAACTATTCGTCTACGACTTGAACTTCGATGATCTGGTCGAGTATTTCTCCAGAGTTACAATATATTATGTAATTAAATGTACATTGGAATTATGAAAGCACTCATTAATAGTACAATAACGTCATTTCGAATGCCCAAGGTCTAATATTTCACTATATTGACCGCTTGGCTTTAGAATGCCCATTCTTGTTTTCCCGTCCAAGTAAGATTTGCTTGGGATATGTTAGTTAAACTGTGGGGAACTGATCTGTATGTTAGCAAATACTTAGCCAATTTTTGGTTCATTGTCCCGCCTTCATGTTTCATCACATCCCGTCTGCACGAGCCATTCAGCCTGGCCATTACTAGCAGGGTGATTTGGAGCACTAGTTGTATGTTTAATACCATTCCCCTCCATGAAGTTTTCAAACTTATTGGATACGAATTGTGGTCCATTATCGCCTACTGCATGTTCCGAAAATGTATATCTATGAAAAATACTTTGTAGCATTCCACTAGTTCTTGTTGAAGCAGTCGATTTTGTTCTGTACTTCTGTTTTGTACTTCTGGCCATTTCGAGTGTGCATCAACAACAGTAGGACACATGTTGCCATCTAGAGGGCCTGCATAGTCAATATGTATTCTTTGGCATGGTTTTTCTCGCCACTGCCATTGCTGCCATTGGTGTAGGGGGGCAGGCTTTTGATTTTTTTGTTGTCGTATACAGCCCTGACATGATTTTGCTTCTGCTTCGATTCGATTATCCAGATTGAACCATTCTTCATTAAGATAGTTAAGTACTTTTGAGAGAATGGGGTCTTTCAATGTTTCTCGGGCCAAGTCATCTCCAGATACTGGAACGGCATTTATCTAGTTAATGTTGTGAATATATGCGGATGACTTATTCTGTGAGAGTGTTGGCATGGGTAACCGACTCAGTACATCAGCATTTGAATTTTCCCGGCCTTTGCGATATTCAATGTTATAGTTGTATCCAGATAGTACGAGATACGAAAGCTACGGGGCGTTCCATTCCATCGTCCATAATATGTGAAATAGCGTCCTTGAAATAACAGTCTGTCTCATCATGATTTGAATACTTGCATCGTGGGCAAGATTTGTTTAGGCACAATCCGTTTTACCTCTGTCTCCCCACTATTGTGCGTTTGCTTAATATCTTTATCTGCCTGTTCCATAGATGTCGCTATTTCTACAGCACGTGTAAATGTTAATTTATCCTCCGTTAACAATCTACGTTGGGCGCGTTCGAGGCTCAATCCATAAACAAATCTGTCTCTTAAAGCTTGTGGTAGAAAAGCTTCAAATTAACAAGATGTGGATAAATGTTTGATTTCACTTACGTATTTTGAAACAGACTCAGATTTGGCTTGAACCCGTTTGTAAAATCGATAACGTTCAGCAATGATTAGTGGTTTTTCAAAAAGGTATTTATATCCTCCATCGATAAATCCTTGGGTTTAATCGGCGCTGCCATGGAACGTAAGACTCCATAGGCCTTGCGTCCTATCATTGTTAATGCAGTTGCAACTTGTTTATTTTCCTGTATATCACTTGCAACGAAAAGTTGTTCTAAGCGTTCAAAATATATCTCCCATTTCTCGGAAAGTTCATCGAATGCCTCGATTTTTAGATATCTAGTCGCCACGATGATTGATTGACTGTGGTAGTAACTGTCCGATCGTAAATTTAAATTTGTAGAAATGAAAAAAAATATTGATTTTTTACCAGTAATCCTTGATTCTCCTTCAGTTCATATCGCAATTGTACACAACTGAGTTAAAATTAAACACTGGATAATGGGTTGTTAATATCCAATCATCCTCATCGCCACTGTTATGTATTCATGCTACCATTGATGAAGTTATTCGGATAATAAGCTTAACAGAACAATGTATTTGTGGGCGATAATACTACGAACACAATACGTTTATTCTGCGCATGCGTATAGCAATTACAGGTGTGAAACTGTTACACTGAACGATAATACTTTTGACAATACATGTACAATGAGTACATAACAGCGATGAAAATGCGCGAAGATCAGTCCATGCAGTCTAGTCCTCGATCTTAATCAGTGATTGAGCTAATATGTTCAACAATTTCAGCTATCGTTTAAACGTTTCTTGTTGAAACCTTCTCACCTCTCGGTATCCGATCGATGCTCCGGCATCCACTTAACTCTGATTGATATTTTATCTGATCAAATATTTGTATTTTCATGATGCATTGTCAAGATTTGCCGGAGGATTTGATCGTGAAAAGTGTACTTGTTCTTGTCCGTGCATATTAATAAGCTAACGCTGCGGGGCCCTCGTCGCTTGGTCAAATTTGCCGACATTAACATTGAGTCGGTTAAGCACAAAGCTTTCTTATGGTACAAGGCGGTCAAAATAGAAATCAAGATAAGTAAAAGAGACCGACTTGGGCAAGGCTAAGAATAGTTATACTTGGTTCTAATTGTAATACTGAAGACTATGGAAACATTTGCAGGTTAGTTAATACATTTAATTTAAATACTCGTATTAATTAAGCTGCCTCTGACGTGCTGAGGAAGTTAGATGTTGCGACGTATAGTGATAGTGGAAGTATTATAAATGCTACTCAGACTGTTGTAGGGACCACTGCTAAGGGTAAAGGGACACCATGCAAGGTGAGTTCAAATCAATTTTAATCAATTAAACTTTCAATACAAAGGCACCGGTCTATGTTTTATCAATGTAGTAAATTTACCAATTTATGAAATCATATTCGATCATTTATTAACTGTATTCTATTGTTTTTCCAGGGTGACAGTGGTGGTCCATTGGTATGTACGGACGGCACTGTATGGCCACATAGATCTGTTGTCATAGGTATAATGAGTATGATTACTCTACGTGGCTGCACTAGGTACAGCGAAGGAGAAACAGTACACACAGACGTCCCTCATTTGTTGCCATGGATATCTGATAAAATAGCAGGTATTTGAATTTAACTTAACAAATGTTTAAGGTAAAAAAATATCGATTAAGTTAAAGTTGACCCTATATGTTGTGTGAATATGTCCCTTAAAGAAATAACATTACACTCTTTGCTGGTAATCTGTCCGATACAATTTGTAACAAATGGTCAAAGCAGCCCCAAATTGTCAAAAATGCCAAATTGCTAGATTGACATTTGACCTAGACTCATTTTTAAGATTAACTTCATGAAATCAAGTCACCGGTTCGTGAATCCCAAAGGGTCACAGCAACCCCAACAAGGCTCTCAACTCCAAATACCTAGAAATTAACATTTAACCTTAAAATGGCCTTAGCCAATAAACTTTGACTTTGACCTCAGGTCACCTTACAATGGGTAGCTAAGGGTCACACGGCCCAAAAGGGCCTCGAAACGTGACCTACCTAGACATTCACCTTTCACCTTGAGAAATTGATCTTTATTTCACAATATCATCAATCTACAGGGTGTTTCATAATGACCGTCCCCAATCCACAACCAATCATATCAAATTCTAGCATAACTGGTCAAGGGGAACATAATTAGTAAACTTATATCTAATAGTCACTATACCCTCATTCTATGCTTAAGGTGAAATGGGTACCCTTTGTAGAGGTTTGAAGCAAGTTGTAGAGACTGCTGAGCTTATTCAAAGTTATTTAAATAAGTCCAGAATTAAACAAGCTTTCATATGATATATAACATATAGTGGTATGCTACTTAGGATTGGCGGTTGATTTGGGGACCGTCATCATGAAACACCCTGTATATAGTGAATGAGAATTTGGCGTTTTCCAAAAATATGTACTTATACGTGTAAAAACGTCGTTTTGAAATTTCCACAAATCGATATGATTAAATCCCCATGTTAAGTCGATTAAAGTGAAGAAAAAATATAAATTGAAAAAATATCACATTGGATTCAAATGAAATTACTGGTAGCAAAAACAAGAGGACCCATTAAGCTAACTTAATTCAAAATTTGGACACTCATTGCCAACGTCTGGGTCAACTCTATGGTTTTCTTTATTTTTGCAACCCTGACACTATGCTATAATATTTACTCACTCAGCTGCCTACTCAACTAGGTACTCAGCTACTTACTCAGCTACCTAATTAGCTACTTACCCAGCTTCAATTTGGAGTCTTTAATCGAACTTTATCTAGTTATTAATATTTCATATTTTTAAAATAGAATAGTTACATCTACACAAAAATATAAAATATACAAAGCTGTAACTTAGTGTGACATAGTAGCGAGGATTATCCTAGTGAGAATAGTTTGGTTAATAAATGCTTAAACGAGTTAGAAATGAGAAAAACGCATATTTATGCTGAATGAGAGTTATTAAGCAATTTATTATCGAAAAATGTATAACAATCATAACATATTACTCACGTGTGCTTAAGAATGGAGTGACTGGAGTCAGACTTGTCATAAGAAAGGCGACACAAGGATACGAGTGAAGTACTGCCTTTTCAATGGCTACTTTAGTCTAAATAATACACAGTACCAAACGTTTTTTAACACCAAAGAGAGATGCAGCAAGGAAGAGAAGGAACTGTGCCAAGGTACACATTTCAAGTTAATAGCTGTGAGAGAAAGCGTTCCCGTTCAAAAGGCATATATGTTAACATAAAAAACATGTCCCAGAAACGTGTGCCACATTTTTACAAGTATTTTTCAGCAATGAATCGACCAAATCCGTCAAAGATTTTAACAAAGTGGTATTAGGGTATCATCAACAAGTGTTATCAATATAAAATAGATCTATTACATATTGAGTACTGACAAATTCAAAACTACATGTAAAAATCAGAACTGTGCAATGAGCCCTTCATACTAATTGTGCCACCTATCATGTGTGAAAAGAGTGTCTGGGTGTCAGGTCTATTTCTCTTTTTCATCATATATTCAATATTCACATTTAGTTGCTAGAATTCATTTTCAATAGTGGGATAAGGGGTTCTTAAACAGATGACATTTATTTTAAAATCATAATTCATTATTACATATAAATCATAATCCAAATTATCGTAAATATGCTTATATCACCGTATTGGGTCTTGTATATTGTGTTCAAATTCAAATGAAAATATTCACGTTTTTGACCCCTTGTGATGAGAGACATATTTCGACCATTTTGCCAGAGGTTTTCTCCAGGATATGTATTTATAAAAGCAACCAAGACTTATGCACCTCATTTAATATTGATTCAAATGATGCCGCGCTATATTGTGTTACGAATTCTTCATATTCCGGAGTCATACCATGGGCTAACAGACCGTGACGTTGTAAACATTGGCAACGCAATCGCCCATGTAACCTTATACTTTAAATCATCGTACACCTACATAAATGAATCTCTAAAATTTCTTCTTCACTTCTTTATTTTTCTCTAGAAACCAAACAGTTTAAGTCAACTAGTGGAAAGAAAATTGTCTCTGATTTTGAGGAATATGCTTACATGGTTTATGTTTCATACGGGGAGATAAATGATGATTTCAATTCATATTGTGCTGGGATAATAATCAGTGACTCCTGGGTTATGACAACTGTAGTTTGCGCATGCATCAATGGAAGATGCTGTTCGGATAACAATGACTATTCGTAAGTTGAAATTTATTTGCATTGATGCATCTCCCACCTATCATACTATTGATAGTTTCAGAAAACCTATTCGAATTGTATAGCTTTAAAATTGTTTACTCATTTGTCATCACCCCTTACGACAATGTGCATATTGTAATATTCTTTTGTTTACTTGGATTACACATTTCTCTTTCTAATCTTAGATCTACAATATGTGAATTGAAGAA